AATTAAATAAAGTTACACTATTACCACATAGTTTGTTTTGTAACCTACAAAACAGACATAGTGGTCTCACAGACCCTAGATTACTGTGCCACCTACGAACCCGACCCTGCATAGTTACAGAGTTAGCGTACCTAACTCTGTAACCCTTTAACAAGGATAAAACTGTTTAGTGTATAAACACGTGCACATAAACCTATCTGTCTGGGGTCTGCTACTGGACCCAGTAGCAGCGCTACAGTCGCCGCGTCGTGGGTCGCGGAATGCTGTTAATGAATATGAGCCTCTGGCATTGCTTGAAACTAGTCGAGTTCCTCGTCAAATGACTACATGAGTAAGCCGAAAACATAATAATTTATTAAGTATGTCTCACGAAAGTTACAATACATATATTTATTGTATATTTACGTATCGATCACTAATTTGGAATATATATAACTCGTTACACGCTAATTAATTTAATTATCGGCTGAAACAATTAGAAAAGCTATAATAACGATCGACGCAGATACTTACCATATTAATCTAATTTATCGTCTGCTCAAGTGATTCCCAGTAATTAATTTACAAAATATTAATTAATGTTATGGATACGTAAGTATAGGAGTCTGTGTTTATTTACTGTTAGAGGTTAAAGAGATTGCTTCGAACCTGGCAGTACCAATGTGACTTTCGCCTAGTCATATTTTTGAACGTTTCAATTTCATTGTTGATATTATCTTTTTTTATGGAATAGGAGGCAAACGAGCAGACAGATCACCTGATGGTAAGCGATCAGCGCCGCCCATGGACACCCGCAACACCAGAGGAGTCACAGGTGCGTTGCCGGCCTTTTATAAAGGAATACGCTCTTTTCTTGAAGGTTTGAAGGTCGTATTGGTTCCGAAATACCGCCGACGACAGATTTATTATCGATTTAGGAAGGAAAATATTTTGAGGAAACTTTCATTTGAAATTATAAGTTTCAATCCACGAATCCCTTAGAGCAAGCGTGGTGATTTATGCTCATTCCTTCTCCGTATGTGAAGAAAATTCTTTACATACAGAGAAGAACCATGTACGTATGCTAAGTATCTTTACTTTTTTTTGGTTTGATAGTTCCTCCATTCCAATACCAATACCAACACCCTTATTAAAATACAAACAAAAACAAAATAAAATTCACGGAAAACAAGAATAACAGAATTGAATACGTCCACATTTCGGAATAGGGGTATTAAACACGCCAGTAAATGCCCCCTGGCGCCTTCTGAACCCCAAAAGCTGTTCACAAAGTTGTAAATGTTACCCCATCGACCACCGTACAGGGAAATCTTACTGAGAATGTATGGGCATACTTTATGACGCAGGTACTGATACAAGCACATCAAAATACCCCTTTATGGAAAAATTATTTAAGAGATTTTCAACCTTCAAGTACGAGGAATAAAGTTCTAAATGGTTTGGAGAATTTCGACAGTTGAGGGTAGCGTGATGTGCGTCCATTTGCACCTATGTGTATGTTGTTCCAAAAATAGAAAGTAGGAAGAGTTTTTCCTGTTTTCTCTCCTGATTTGAAATCCGAGAATGGTGATGTTCTTTTCGTATTTATCCTTTGGTCATTAAGTGGGTTCGTGAATAAACCCACTTAATAAAGAAAGGATCAAATAAATACTCTGTGATTTAGCTCTCTTAAGATTTTAACCGTCCGTGTAAGTCAGCGATGACCTTAAGGGATGCGAAGCCTCTGTCACAGTTTTCTGTGGCCAGTCAAAAAGTTAAATATGTAGTATTTTTTTTGTACGTGTGTTTGTGGTTCTTTTGGGTACATTTAAAACAATACAAATGTTAAATCTATATAAAGTTAAGAAGCTTAACGTCCAATACGTCCATGGACTCTGTCCCACTTTGAATCATTCTGTGCATTGGTGTATTCGAGGTTATCGCAAATAAACAGACGTGGCAGTGACTATTGAAATACTTTTTGTAATAACAATAAGTACATACATATCTCTCTTCATGCATGCTCATCAATGAAGAGTGCTTCTACTTTATAATATGATTTTCTATTATAAATTATCACTACGAAAAATTTTGGTGTAGCACAAATAACTCTCCACCTATTCATAATAAAAAATACTATACGTGAAGGTTTTAGTACATGTACCTACTTAAAAAATACATAATTATAACATGTAAGTATCATGTAAAATTATGCAAATAACGCGACCCAACTAACACTAATGGAGAAACGCCCAAGTTACCGAAATCCACGTATGAAATCTACGATCCTAGATGGCTCTAAGTGTGTCTAAAAATAGATCCAGGTCTAACATTAGAGTTATTCTTAGTACAAACATATCCACGTGAACGATTAGGTTCACCACTTTAAATGCCAAGCGTAGTGAAGAGGATAATCGGCTTAGAACTTAGAACTTGCACGATTTATTATAACCATCTTTGAGTTTGTATTTGACTAAATTTTCATAGTAGCGACTATGTTTTTTGGCCCGAATTGGAGTTCCAATATTGTTTAGATTTCGTTATGGGATACTACATAGTACATACAATATTAAATTCAGCATGTTGGTGTTCAGTAGTTTAATTTCCGAGTCTTACTTAAGTCAATTCAATATATATTTGGGTAATTCACTTAATTAGATAAAACTTTTAAAGGAATTATTTACTTAATCCTCTTATTCATCTGCTACAATTTTGATGATGAAAGTGAAAGCTGACTACACAACGCAATCATAATAATATGCAAACAAGGTATTCCCCAAAGAGGCAAGCAGGAATGTTTTTACATATATTTACCACAAGCAATTTGCAGTAACACATTTTACTGGAGAAAAATCTTACCCACCATAAAAAAGTCTTACGTTCTGATGTGACGTCATATCTTTTCCACCCTTATCTTTAACTCTCTATAGTGTAGGATTTACTATAGAATGCTTCCTTATAAACATGTTACAAAGGCTTCCTTCATACATATTAAGTAGGGTACATAAAAGAAGAACCGCATTGTCACATTGCATGAAGCGATAAGCCTGGCTTTTCATCTGCGCTCGTTTCGTTCCCTATCGCCGTCGACCACCGATCAGCCATGTTGAATGTCGAGCTATCGATAAATCTGTCAACCAAACGGATGTTTTTATCGACACATTGCTGCTCTAGCTGGAATGGTTTTAGGGGGATTGGATGTGATTTACTAGGATTGGTGGATTGGTTTGAAAGATTTTGATTGTAGTAAGAGCTATCTCTCACTGACAATTGAAAAAAATAAGTCTTAACAATAGCAGTATTTACTAAAGAGCCTCTAAAGAGACACGCTGCAGTTCACCTTAACTTCCAGTTTTGTAATACATATTTTATTCCACACTGGAATCGTAAAATGTACTATGGCTAATGGCATCCCACGTAGCCGTTATCTATTTTTATTGGAATTTAACCTCATTTATTTGACTATATTCCTCTTAAACGTTAATATAATTTAAGACTCTAAAACATGCATAAAAATACTAACTGCTTGCACTTTGATAAGTTCGAGAATGTGCCCTAAGCGGGCTCACTAGAGCTTCAAACTTAATTAACATTTTCGCCGTACACGCTAAATAGGGACCTAATAAGATTGCAGCCAGTCAGTTATGTGTGTACCTACTGCAGTTCATACAGAGTTTAGAGTATTTTTCTATTTTATTTTACCTAACGAGTAGGTACTCTTTGACTGCCTACAAAATCTGTTGAAGGTTAATACTCCACTAAAGTATCTACACCAGTTTTAAGTGTGGGAGAGCCACGGGGTCCCGTTCATTTGGGTAAATAGGTGCTGCATTATATCAACGAAAAGCAAAGACTGAAACGGGTTTCAACTCGTCATGGGTTTGATTTCCGCATTGGGTAATGTCGCTTTATCGCTTAACTTCACACCCAAAATGTTATGTTATTCAGATACGGTTATTCCGGGTCTGGTGGTTGTGACCAAGGAATACAGATATCTACTGTGTATAGGAGATACTGTGTTCTGTATTCCGTGGTTGTGACGTACAAATACATATTTGAAATTACCTAAATGTTTGTTACGCATCCACCTCACAGAATCAAATCTTAGTACCTAAAGGACAACGACTTTAAAAAAGAAATAATAAATCTACCTACGTACCGTTCCAATATTTTTTTATTTCGTTTTATTTACTTAGGTTTTTCATTTTACAGCATAAAACCATGTAAGCAACTAAGTACACAGAGGATATTTACAATAAATCACTTGACAAAATTGGTTACGAACGCCAAGTCCCGGGTTCCGTGTTTCTAAAGCCTCAGGGGAGTCGCAAAGCTTGTCAAAGACAGACGGGACTCTAGTCGAGCTTGCACCTCGAGGCGATTTAGTACAAAAGCCACTTTGTGGACATTTCAACGACTATCTTCGAATTATTCTACCATTTGGAAAGGGTGGGTATTGTAAGTATATTCTAATTGGTTGAATCGAAAATTACGTAGGTAGGTAGCTGTTTTATTTTCATAGAAATTATTGTAAATAATATCGTTATTTTATCCTAAATATTCATTGGGTACTTCATAGTTACCTATTGTTAATTAATTAAACTATTTAGCAAGCGTTTAATGCATGACACGTAAAAAAAAATCTAAAATTGTTTAAAATTCAATTATGGTAATATTAGCAAACACTAGATGGCATAACGTTCGCGTCATGAAGAAATTCATACATGTTCGTCTAGATGGCACTGATCTCTATTTACTTATTATTTGAATACGTAATTATAATTTTGTTACATTAAAACCGATTGTTTTGGGTTGTTATGGAAATAAATTACGTAATTTTTGGTAAAAAAATAATAATTTTAAAGTTGAATTAATATGCGACCATAGACAACAATCAATCTATTTTCAAATAACTAGAGTAAACTGGCAACTCTGACAGTTTGGTTTGGTTTATGGTTTCATCACATGACCCTTTTATTTTGTTCCCGTGATCAAATTGTGGAAATTCAAAAATAATTACAATGGCAATGGCCAAAGTGGAAATTGACGTTGATGACATGCATGAAAATTCACTTGATAACAGGTAATATGCTGTTGAATTTGGTGTTATTTGTTTAGTGCATTATATAATATGATTTTAAGGCACCGAAGGTCATCGCTTTATAGTTTTGCAACTTGGCAGTCGACGCAGTATTCTCTCGATTTAGATTTTATTTTCAAGTGTTGTATTTTAATTTATCGCATTTGTTTGCAGTGCAGATATTGAGTATTTGGGCATGGTAGATGAAGGATCTTTTGGTATGTAATATCTATGTGTTTTGTTTTTCTTTTATTTTTATTTTTTTCCTCGTACAAATAGACATCACTAATTTGTTTACCATTGCACAGAAGTAACCCTAATTCGCTGTAACATGTTTCAATTTAATTATGAACGTGTATTAGAGTAGTGTCGTGTGTTATTCAATTAGTGATAGATTTGATTATTCGTTATTTCAGGGAGTAACGAAGAGAAGTCCCAACTAGTGTCTCAGCCCTACTTGGAGCCCCACGACACTAATACTACGTATAGCTTCAAAGATTTATGTACGTAAAGTTATTTTTTTTAATTAGAGTTACACAGATAATGTCCAATTCTTTCTTGTAGTAGGTATTTCTTACTTGTAGCCATTATAACCTAGTACATAATTCACTATTTTTAATTTGATTCAAGTATTATACTTAGGTACTAATTAAACATTTTTTTTATAATTATCATAACATCAAACTTTAATCTCTATATGAATAGCTATAATATAGCTAGATGTCCAAGTATTTAACACAAATCTGAATGGAGTTGTGTGATTGATTAATTTTCATATTTTGAACTTTTTGAAGGAATGAATTTTTTATCTAAGCGCGAAAAAAAAACTGATTAGAGTTAATGCTAAAACACTTATTATTTCATGCCCAATAAGATTTAGAATGCACTGCACATAGAACATGCTAACCTTTTGATTGTAAATATTTTCTCAATGAAGAGAATTCTTCGATCATCCCCACTATCAGTGTTTGTTTACAGTATTTAATATTGTAAATACATGCATAATATTGTTGTTATTATTTTATCATCCTGATTATGTCTAGCTCTGAATGTCATCATGACACGTAATAAATTAATAAGTGGTTCATGAAGTGTGCTACTTATCGCATTTCCTTAATGTTAATTACTATAACTAGGTATTTACATTAATTGTGCTTGAAATATCCTTGGGAAAATGAGGACATGCAGTAATTTATTGTCTGTTTTATAACTCTTTAGAACACTCATAGTGATTTTTGTGATAACATACATAATAATATTATGTATAAATAAAACCTTTAATAATATGAATTTATCATATCATACTATATTGAACTATGTATACCACACATATTATCAAAAACATGTATGTAGTAACTTGATATTTTAGTTGTGTGATATCAAATTTATAACTAGCATGTACTCCTGTACTTTTTTAACCACTCTGCTCGATTTCTATTGATCGTAGTATGATGTTTTATACCCCATACCCGTTGTCGATAAATGGACTATAGAATACAAAAAGAATTTTTCAAATCGGACCCGTAGTTCCTGAGAATAATGTTCAAACAATCAATGAAATTAACTCTTCAGCTCTATATAATAGTATAAGAGAAGAGTATACGATTTTTATAATTTACCCACATGTCAGCCACAAAACAATCACTGCTTAACATAGGCCTCAATCGCTATTTAGACTTTTTATAATAGAAATATTTTAAAAATTACATTAAGTTATCATGCACATGGTTTATAACTGCACAACATGTATATACAAACTATTTGCCCTTCCAGCTGGTGCAGTCAAGTACAAATTAATAACTATGACAGGAGAAGAAGCTGGCATCAACATCACACATTCACCTTCTCCTGGTAAGGGTTCTGATCTTGACATAATAACTTCTAAATAATTATAAACATAAAATGTCAGGCTGTCATTACTAACTATTGGTTACTATTTTAAAGAAAGAAAAAAGAAGATTAAAGATAAACAGTTCAGTTGCACCATTAAAAAAAGAAAAATAGTTTTAAAAAATAGAACAGTGTAGACGGTGCAAAAAGGCCAGTGCTCAGCCAAAATTCCGTTTCCCGAGCGCGATAGCTCGAATTGCGGCGCTGATTATCAGCACTAGCGGGCTAGAATATTATACAAAGAAATAATTATAAAGATAAAATGACAGTCTGTTATTACTGGACTATTGGTTATTATTTGCTTTTCATTAATACGGTTTATCTACCATAAAGTCTGCTTAGTAGTGTTTAGAAATTTTAATTTAATAGGTTCAGGTATACCTAAAAGCACTAGTACCTGCTCTTTCAAATTCAATATCATTTTACAGAGTGTAAAATGTAATGTTAAATTTTCTTTTACAGATGCAGAATATTTTGTAATTAGCAATCCTGTAGAAGTTTTTGGTACAACAACGACGCCAAAGAAAAATGCGCGCAGAGATCCACTCCAGACAAAAGCAGTTACTGCAAAAAAGGTTTGTGTTGTTCTCTAAAAAGTATTGCAGTAGAAGAATATAGATTATCCTAAACTTCATGTACTTCTTCAAAACATGGAAGAAACATACCCAATCAACTCATAGTTCAAATTGAAACACCTACTTATAGTTAAACCATAACTACTATCTCTTTCAGCGTGACGACAAAAGACGAGCTACCCACAATGAGGTAGAAAGACGTCGTCGAGATAAAATCAATAGCTGGATCTCTAAACTGGCTAACTTAGTTCCCAATTCTGGTCTACCAGACTCTGCAAGTAAAGGGGGAATATTAGCTAAAGCATGTGATCATATCACAGACTTAACGGAGAAACAAAAGAGGTTAGTAGCTTAGTTTTAATCCCATAATGATAATTCTTGACTATGACTAGAAAGAAAGAAAAAAAAACCATTTATTACGCCACGACACACAACAAGAATACAGGTACACACAAAAAGCCCATGGTGCGTCACAGCACAAAAGGCTGAAGCTCAGCTTAATACCGTGGCCCAGGCACGGAGGCTCGAGTCCACGGCGCTGATTTTTAACACCAGCCCGTGACTCAGTGGATTTATCTATGTCAGTGAGAACTTAGTTACATATATAGTCTATGTTAGACTAAAATTTCTAATATGTTTTACCTCTAAAAACGTACATCTGATATTAAAATATTAATTTGTTCATATTGCATTATTATTTCCTGATATTCAAATTCTCTCTTCTATACAATATTAAGCTGCCATAATAACAGAAATGGGTTAAAAAATAAAACGATAAAGTTAGACAAATATCTAATACTGTATTTGTTATCTTTGTATTTAATCTCTAATCAATGCTAAATCATATGTGTGTCAGCAGTGTAGACTCTACAATATTTTATTATTGTGTTTTGTTGATAGTTGTCTTGGAGATAAGAACAATAAGTGATTAGGAAGGAACAGAACTAGTTTACATGATAGCCTTCTTTACCTCTTTGGTTGAATACTTTACCTTTTGATCTCTAGTCCCAAAGTCGCCAATAATAGTCTCACCTGCAAAAATCGACTTTTATTTGGAAACTTTTTAATGTTGTAATGTCTTATAAGTCTTATTATAATGTTTCAGATTAGAAAAACTGGAAGTTGAGAATGAAAAACTTGTACTAGAAATATTGAGACTTAACCAAGAGCTGACTGAGGTGCGTAAAGAGAACAGCTCAATGCGCAACCAACTTGCGGACAACTGCATAGTGCTATCACACAGGCCTAAGGGTCAGAAATCTTAGTTCAAAGTGAAGTGTAGGACTTGATGACTGACTAAACCAAGGTGCTGAATGCTGTGTGAAGTGACAACTGAATGATTAAGCTAAGTACGCATTGGAATCAATACTGTCACTTTAACAGGCTGTATGTGTTATCTGTGGTGATATTCAACCTCTTTTAATCTAGTGTCATTGTTGTATCAGGGCTTCCCAACCAGGGTTAGACACCACTATTAGTATTACTTTTTTTATGTGGTCTGGATTAGTGATGTGCCGTAGCCGGCAATATTGCCCGAAGTTGAAATTTTTGTGGCAATATTGCCGGGAATGGAAATATTTGAGAATATTGTTTAATTGTGAGTCAAATTAACTACGGAAACTATGCGCTATAATTGAAATTAGCATTTCATCATCTACATTATATACATTAAAGTGTTATTTTGGGTAAAACTGCCAATATTGCCAGTAGTTTAGGCAATAATCCCGGCATTAGGATATCATTTTACCTGCAATATTGCCAATGTTACCGGCAATATTAGTATTTTACCGGCAGCGGCAATATTGGGAATATTGCTGGCAGTGGTCATATCACTAGTCTGGACCAAGATTTTGACCAGTCTTACGATTATATTGATCCTCTCAGCTGTCTCCTTTGACATATAAGTTTCATTTCAACTTTGACCGTCGTATTTATTTGAAACAAGACAACATCTCTGTCTTGTATTTTTTTAATTTTGCGGACAATACTCTTCTGCAGAACACTACAATAGTGGTCCATGGACCACAGGTTGGGAACCACTGGTGTAGATAAAGTATTGCCAGTAATGAAAAAATTCAATGTGAATTGTGCAATGTTTATTTTTAATTAATCACTAATTCTATTAATTTGTCATTGCTGTGGCAGCTAGCTGAGACAGTATTGTACCAATGTGTTGTTTATTTTGTCCTATTTATATAATGCATGTGCATTATGAACACCAATTATGTTTTGTTGTTATTATTTTCGTTTTATGAATATAATTAGTTGATGTTTTAAAATTGATTTTGTGATTTATTGTGTACATATACAAATTGTATCATCTCCATCTGTTAATTGCAAATAAGCAATATTATACAATTGATCTTGTTATTGTACTATTTTGCAATTATTTTGTCTCCACTTTTAAGTTCATTTTGCATAATTATATTTGTTCAAAGATTGTAGTCAAAACTTGTTAGTTAAATTAATAGATTGTGTCTGTGATCTATGGCACTAAAGTTAGACGCCTAATATTTAGTTGTAAGAATTTAAATCCAAAAGAGTATGATGTATACATAAATTATGTAATATAATGTTGTTTATGTATTGAAATGGGATTCCAAACTGTAAAATAATGTTTGAACTACAATGTTAAGCCATTTGTCATAAAAAGAGCTATAGCCGTGAGTTATCGGCAATTAAACCGATATTGGGTATTGAAACTGCAATATCTCTCAAGTTTAGCCATTTCGTTGGCTTGGGGCCGTTCAAGTATTACGTAAGCAGATTTCTTACCATTTTTTACCCCCCCGCCGCCCTTGTCATAAAAAATAAGCAAAGCACTTACTCCCTCCCCCTATGCTTACGTAAACATTTTTAGTAATAAATGTTTTTTTTATATTGTTATTTTTAAAATAGGAAATTTCATGGAAATATTAGGTTTAACTGATACACATAGAGTAAATGACAAAAAATATAATCAGAAATAAAGAACATAACTAACATAAAGAATATTTTCGGCACATTAACAGTCTTCAGTCCATGAAACCTGAATCCATGATTCTAAGTTATCGATGACATTGGATTGCTGCTCAGTGTTGTGAGTCTGCTCATTTTCATCCGATTTTGTCCCAGTATGAGATTTTTTAAAACTTTCGAACAGTTTTTGGTATAACTTGGATTTGTCTATATGATATGACATTCTAATAAGATATTTAAATTTAAATAATTAAAACGTTAAACTTTGGCTAATTGCATCTACATAAACACAAATGATAACTTTCAATGCTTACAATACGTTTAGAATCCAAACAAAACAATACTGATAGATGCGCACTTGCAGCTGGCCGGCACGAGAGCGAATTATTAGACAAGTGAATAGCGCACGGTAATTTCCCTAATGCGCGGTAATTCCCCTAATCAGTTCTCAAAGCGAGTGCCTACGCATATGTATTATTTGCGGGAATCCCCGAAAAAACTTGAATAACTAACGATGACGTAATCATCATCTAGACCCCCCCACCCCCCATGTCATCCAAAATAAGCAAAACAGAGAGCCCTCCACCCCCCCTTGGTGCTTACGTAATACTTGAACGGCCCCCTTGGTGTGAAAATAATAATGTGTGTTCCGCCATGACAGGCAAAGGAAACACCACAATGCTGCCTTAGATGAATCATTATTTATTTTACAGTTAGGAAACTTTAGTAAAATCCGTTTTATATACTGTAGTTCAAGATGTTTCGCGTGTGATTTCGCGTGCTTTAATCTATAACTGGTTAAATCTGAACAAAAGTATATTTAATACTTGGAACCCATTTGCACTGAATGACAGCTAACTTATTATCAAAACAATAATTATTTATTTAGTTCTTTCGTGCTAATGGGTCCAAAACCTGTATGAATGTTCTAAAGTAACTATGTATGTTGTTCTAATTATACATTTTTATATGATACTAGTTATAGCTACTTACAAAATGTGTAAGTATAGGACTAAAGTAGGGTATCCTAGCTTTAAGAGTTGAGTTGTTCTTAATTTAACAATTGGCTTAAAGTTGCATTTAATTTGAAATCCTCATACAAATGATCACATACTGTATACCGGTCATGTTTTAGAATGAATCAGGTATTTTGTATTCTTTTTTTTTATTGTAGCACAGTCCTACTTGAATATAATCAAGTGTTGTTGAAGATTTTGTGTTTTATTGCTAATGTCTTTTCTATTCTTCACATACAAAGATTTTTATGTTGTAAGATATGTCTAGTTCAGATAATAGATGTGTTACTAAAAATCTGCTTATTTGTAGATAATCTTATAACTGTTAGCCAGTACATGTTATTTGTTAAAAATCTGAAGAACAAAATGAAACAATATAAGAACATTTTAAAATTAAAATATATTTTCTTGATATCTCTTTAATTACTCAATTCAGTTTCCAAAAATGGTAGCTCCTTTTTTATAGTTTCGTTAGCTCCTACAGCATATAATACAGTAATTTTATTATCTGATTTTACCACTTCTTTGGCTGCTTCTTTTACCAATTTCTTCTCTACTATTTTTTTAATTTTTCCGTTTCGTTTCAGTGTGCATTTTTTCTCCTTTAAAATATGTAGGTATACATCATACTTCCTTTTGAATTTCTGACCACACGTGTCGCATTCGTATTTCATAACACCTGCAAATATGTGAGATTTATTACAAACAAATGTTTGATTAACTTCTCAAAAATGTCTAACCGACAACAATTGTTTTGGCAAGAGCAAACCTGATAGGTATTAGGTACTTTTAATTTCACCAGTAACCCAATTTAGACCAAAAATAAAATATTTTGTATCTAATTAAAATAAAAAAGACAATTTTGTAATTATTCTTTATCAAAAATTAGCGTTATGAAAAAAGGTCAAGGGCAATTTTTGACATCTATCTAAGATCTACAATTGTTTTCTGATATATCATAAAACCACCCGTTTCTCTGAAAACTTAAAAAAAAACTATTTTTGCAACCTTTGACATTGAATTTTTTTTTTTGCAGACGGGTTCGATGAGGGCTGCACAATTTCCTAACAATAGTACCCCTAACATCTATGCAAATTTTCATTTTTCTAGGAATTAATGCAAGGTTTCCCCTATTTTTGGTCTAAACTCACCGGGTTACAGATGAAATGAAAAACAAGTCTTCAAGTAAGCCTTTTAGGCATCTCAATAGAGTAAAATGTCTAGGTCATGTGCCTTTAAAATCATTCTGAGCTTCAAATCTCCATTCATATATGTTATCAGCCAAAATAACGAATATTCGCACTGGTGTATGGAAACCAAATGTATTAGTTCTAAAAATTAACATACCCAAATGAATTTTCATGTGCCTGCTCAACACATCTTGCCGGGTAAATGTATAATCACAGTAAATACACTTAAATGGTGTTTCACCTGTGTGTTGTCTGTAAAAAAATAAAATTATTAATTTTTTTTATGGGATTAACCGGTAACCGAACATGCGGATCACTTGATAGTAAGCAATCAGCGTCGCCCATGGACACCTGAAATACCAGAGGCGAATTGCGTTACCGGCCTTTTGGGAATTGTGAATTTGAGGATTGTGGGGGACTCGGGGATTGGGGAGGGGAGTATTTGGGCCTCCGGTAGTCCAGTTACTTCACTCACACGACGAAACACAATGCAAGCATTTACCGACGTGAAACAACGTCGGTTTTCTGTGACGCCGTGGTATTGCTCTGGTCAAGCCGGTCCATTCGTGTCGAAGCATGGCTCTCTCACTCTTAACTGGTGACCCCTCTGCCAACGAGGCAGTCCAGGATAAAAATACAAACACTGCTATTACATAAAGGTCAGACCATAGTCCCTCTGGGGAACCGTTTTTTTGCTCACCACCTAGTGTGACCACCTCTAGTCTTTTCGTCCAATTAGGAATGGGCTATTGTCACATCATTGGACATTCCATCTTTGACGGCTACAGTGAAGGGACTAAAAGTACCTTCCTACATTTGCGCCATTACTTGAGTATAAATACCTTAGCCCCTATTGTATTGTTGCAGTTGAAGAAGCAGTTCTTACCTCATGTGAACCTTCAAATCTGAATGTCTGTAGAAACCTCTGCCACACTCTTTGCATTTTGTGGAATACATCTTTTCGTGCCTTCTTATATGCAGAATAAAGTTGTTGCGTTTATGCATCATCACATTGCAAACTGAACAAATATATTGCTAAAACAAAGAAGTTAAATAATAACATTAACATAACATCACGTCTTTTATCCCCGAAGGAATAGGCAGAGGTGCAAATTATGCCACTACAATGTAACACCCACTTTTCACTATATAATGTTGTGAGTCCCATTAAATATAAAAAATAAAAATATAATAGGTGTATAACAGTTATCTATCAAATTACCGTTTTTAACCGTAATATTGCCTTTACGAATCGGCTAAAACGACTTGTTTATCTAAGCTGTGTTATCCATATAGTTGAACGTATTTAAGACGAAAGTAGTCTATTTATTATGATATGGTATTTAAGAAAGAAAATGATAATCCGTGGAAACTTGCAACACCAGAGATGTTGCAATCTGTGTCACTGGACTGCGATAACCTTAATCCTCCGTGCCTTGCATACGGCAAACAACGCATGTGTAGTTTTACGCCGGTTTTCTGTGAGGCCGTAGAACTTATAGGCTGGTTGAATGGCCCATTCATGCCGTAACATTAAAATTATATAATAAATAGACTTACTTTTTGAGATTTCCTAGTTGTATTTATAGAATGGACACTCCTATGCTTCTTCAGTTTACTTCGTGAAGAAAACGATTCTCCGCAAATTGCACAATTAAATTCGACCTTAGGTTTCTGAAAATAAAATATAAATTATAATAATTTAAAACTCACATTTCTTGCTTCATATATTTTTATAGCAAAAATCATGAAACTTTCAATTTCTGGCAGCAAAAAGAATTTCCGATACCGGGAATCGAACCCGAGCCTCCTGGGTGAGAGCCAGGTATCCTAGCCACTAGACCATATCGGATATTAATGTTGCATTGAAATAGCATTCCATATTTTATTATCTCACTGAATATTATTTATTTATGTACACACATTCAACACAGAGGACAATACATAATAAAAAAACAGAGTACATAGGCCTACAGAGTATATATATTGTTACTATGAATATTTATTTATTATTTTTTTTACAAATGATTTTTTTTAATAGAAAGAATTATTATATAATTGGAGGAATCATTAGGTGCTTCTGTTAATCCATAAAAAAATATTTTTTATGAGATAGGCATTCTTATTTATTGTTATTAATCATAATTTATTTATTTAGTTCATTTTACATAATTGTTTGAGTTTAATTAATAATATTTACAATGTCAATGGCCTCGTTGATCGAGTCGAGTGGAACTGCGAAGCAACAGGTTTGGGCTCGACTTATAGATAGGGCAACTATTGTAATTTCCTGTTTTTCAAAATTTGTGTTTCTCATAAAATATAGTGTCTCACGATAGTTATTATAAAAATATCTTATACTGTTATTTAAAGCTGAAAAGTTTGTTTAAACGCGCTAATTCCGGAAACTAATGGTCCTATTTGCGTAATTCTTATTGTGTTGCATAGCCCATTTATCGAGGCAGACTATAGGGTATAAATCATTACGCTAAGGTCAATAGGAGTCGAGTAGAGTGGGTAAAATTGCGCTAAAGATTCTACCAGTCCTACTTACCGAACAAACTCTCAAATGTCTTTTAAAATTTGACTTGTCGTGCATCTCCAATCCACATTCACTACATAGGACGGGATTTTTATTCATTGATGCTTTCTTTTTCGCTTGCCCATGTATTTTGGTCATATGAATACTTAGAGCTTTGGCATTTTTAAATTGTTTGTTGCACGATTCACAGTGCGATTTCTCCTTTTCTGCACCATCTTCAAGAGCTTGTGGAATTTTTTCTTTATCATTTATCGTTTTCTCATTCTCTATTGGTTTATTTTCTTTACTTATTCCCATTTCAAAGTCCATGTCGGTAGTATCTTCATTCTCGAATTTAATACGAATTAACTTTGGGTCTATATTTATTGATTTATTATCCTCTTCACTTTCTTCAACAGTTAGTTGAATTATTTCTTCATTATTCTCAATTTGTTTATTATCTTTATGTGTTGTAGTTTCAACAAAGTCCATATCATTTGAATCTTCATTTTCGACTTTAATACTAATCAACTGTGAGTCTCTTTTCCGTTGTTCTTTAGCATCTACATTAGCTCTTTTAATATCATCAATGTCAAATTCCTTAGTGTCATTTCGGAAGAATTCTTCAAATATTTCGATATCACCTTGGACATTGTCGTATGGTTCTATACATTGTCCTACTGTCTTATTGGTGTTCACATCAGCTTCAGGTAGTTCGAGTTTCACATTAAAAAGTATATTATTAATTGTTGGTGTTGATGCTGCTGATGTTTTTTGGAATACTGAAAGTCAAAATGTTTCAAATAAGTAAATTTATGACAAAGTATTTGATGAGGTAACTTGACTAGGTTCAAGCCACGTTAGGGACTCATATTCATGAGGAACATCGCACGATAAACGACGCAGCGAGTGTCGCGTTGATAAGTAGTTTGACCCGTGTTCAGTAACCTCGTAAAACATAAATAGGTGATTTAATGTAAATTATGAACAAAGACTGACTGCCTCGTTGGACGAGTGGTCGCAAGTGCGACTGCCGGGCAAGGGGTCTCGGGTTCGATTCCCCGGTCGGGCAAAGTATTACTGGGTTTTAAAAAATTCTCAGTAGTAGCACGGAGTCTGGAATTGTGCCCGGTATATGGCAATAGGCTCACCCCCTATTACATGGGACTCATAACATAAATAGTGAAAAGTGGGTGTTATATTGTACAGTGGCATAATGTGCACCTCTGCCTACCCCTTCGTAGATGAAAGGCGTGATGTCATGTTATGTACGAACAAAGACAAAATTGTTTTTTACTCTTAAAAAAGTAGAATTTGTAATATTACCTGGTGGAGAAACAAGTAGCTCATCCAGAGAAAATTCTTTATTGTCCGGATTCTTTAGCGCTTCTTCTAAGTTCCTGTCTATCGTACATGGTTTGTCCTTCAATAAGGCTTCAATGTTAATACTGCTATTACTCATTTCGTTACTTGATTTCAATGAGCCCAAATTTTCTGTATAAAAATTCATGCTACTCGTTCTATCTTTATCTGAGTAATCTAATGATGGTAGATCCAAATTGCTCACTGATTTATCAAGACCATCAATTTCATCTATACTAAAATCACTTATCAGTTTCTCGTCATTCTTTGCATCATTTTCTAATTTTACTTGACCAAATTCATTTAAAGTCATGTCACATAATTCTTTTAAACTATCGTTTTTATTGCTGTCCGGCTTTTCTATACTATCTAAGCTAAAATCGCATAGTTCTTTCAGATGTTTGCTTGCAAACGTTCTTTTTAGTTCGATCTCTTTAGTGGACATTTCTTTAGTTCCAAAACTGGTGATATCTTTAATGGCTTTACTGCTTTTAAATTGTTCATTTGCTGATTGTACAGGATCAACATTAACTATGGGTTCCTTAGTCGCAAAAGGATAAAACTCTTTTAGACTATTAAAACTTTCTGGTTTCTCCATAACTTTGTTTTCAAAACTGTCAGGATCTTTAATATTTTGGTCATTTTGGAAAGCTTTTGTAAAGTCGTTGAGTATTTTAGTTTGCTTCTCCGTATTTACAGTTTCAAAGCTGATTTGTTCTTTTTGCTCAACATACTTTTTAGGTGTGTAGCAATGATCGTTATTTACAGACCGAGGTGTTGAAAATGGACTGAAACTGTAAAGATAGCAGCATTAGTAGGTGACATAATATTATTACAGTAAATATGAATAGTATTTTTAAAATAGTTTTTTATAAATAAATAAATAAAAGTCCTTTATTTGCAAAAACAGATTACGGAGTTTATACATTGTATTAGGAGATGCCTGATTATGTTTTCGGCAGCAACAATCCGCGACCCACGATGCCGCCACTGCTCATGAATCTGAACCTTTAGAATGGCTTGAAACTAATCAAGTTCCTAGTGAAACAGTTAGGTACGTGAGTAAGCCGAAAACATATTAATTAATTTAATATGTCTCAAGAAAGTTTTAATACTATTAAAATGTTTAAAAATCGGATGGTTAATGAACGTCATATATTTAATATGAAACATACGAAAAAAAAAATCTAAATTAATGGTCTACAATTAAGGAAATTGAGGATATTCATAAAAGAAAACTGGGTACCTATGTAATGCCGGATAAGATAGTTCTCTACACTTACCTAAAATCCAATCTGAAGTCCGTATCAATAGACACATCATCCTGGAGCCAGTGGGAATCCAGTGAGTCTTCCAGCACATCAGCCTCTTCTTCAATGACCTCTCTGATAATCCGAGCCTCCGTGTCGGGCATCTCTTCTCCTTGTAGGATGTCCGTCATGAAGTTTCGTATACTTGTGCATGTTGACTCTGAAATGAGATATTTAATTTTATTGTCATTATTACCGACTTCAAAAAAAGGAGGATGTACTATGTTCGGCTGATTGTTTTCTTTTTTTGTAAATGTATGCATTTATGGTACTTTTTTCGAAACTAATACTAAGGTAAGTTAAAAAGAAAAAGGAATAATATGCATGAGTGTACCTATCTGATTACTGAATTGAGGAAGCAAAAGAAAGAGGTATGTAAGAATCGTTAAATCATTGTAAGAGTGTTAAATAAATAAAGAATAGAGTCAGTCCCAACACAAGTATTGTATAATAACTTACTGGGACTGCCTCAATGTTAGACAGATAGTATAATTCTTAAGATAATAAACAATTTTGAATTTGTATTTGAAATTGAATCGTAGCAATTGGCATTCCATAGACATAGACATATGTATTCGGATGTAAGTATGTATGTACATATGTATCAACTCAGTATTCTATAATGATAATTTATTTTGCAGCGATGTCACTGTCTCCATTATTCTTACCATTGTCATCGTCTCTTTTTTGTGTAGCTGGAGTACTATTCCCACTTGTTAATGGCAGCCTGAAATAGCAAAAGTACAAGTTTACTCAGTGTTTTCTATTACATAACAAATTTCTAAAGAAGAGATATTAACTCGTTGAGTACCATCATTATAGACACAATTAAAGAACTATAGGTTGCGGTTACAGGTGACCGCTCGGTGTTTGACAGTTTAACCAACTAATCAGAAATTACTTGCATGTGTACCTACACAAAAAACACTTACTGCACTCTTACTTTCTTGGTCCAATAAGACAGTAATCAAACAACATATTTTCCTTACATATTTACTGAGTATATATGTATACTTGATCTTAGTAAAATAGTTTGGTGAGTCCCATTGAACTTAAAGAGTTGCCTTTTTTTAAGGGGAGTAAATCATCGAATGACTGCTCCCGCCTGGGTGAGGCGGGAGGGAGTGTCACTCTTACTGGCTAAAAACCACCCCGTTCCTTCTCCTGCACGTCGAGCCAGAGCCCCGTTAGGTTCTCCGCAACTTGAGTTGCCCTGAAGTTCTATATCCTACTTACATCTACGAAATAAACCTGCATTCATACCAACAACTGGCAGGCTAAATATGGCTGTCACTGTTTATTCTTCAGCTACAGCAGCCATATTATAATGTGCGAATTTTTAGTAGGAATGCATGTTAATTCGTAGGTATGCTCAGTCCGGAGATGTCAATGGTAAGTCCACAATACAATAACACTTACCGGAATGTCAAAGCATCATCACAGTTTTTAAGGAATGTACAGAAATCTATGGGGTCTCCTACATCTTTTAGCACTTTGTAGTTCTTAAATTGCTTGTCTGAAGTTCTACATTGTTTTTTAAACTTGCAAGCTTGCTTCATATTCAGGAAACAATCCTTACATAGTTGGAATGTGAATGTGTCATTTCTTTTCACCTGGAATAGAAACATTAATGTTTTAGTGATGTACAAAATTTAATGCCCACTTTTAGTTATTTTGACAATACATTTAATTTAAATTAGTGTCATCATGTTGGATATAGTATAGATAATGGTTTATATATTACATTTTTATTTTACTACACATCATTGAAAATATTAGATGAACTCCTCACTACAAAAAATGAAACTGTTACATTTATTATTTGTTTTTATTATGGCTTTTTAACTATTTACCTGTAACCCAGTGGAGTACACAAACAGTCGTCTATATTTCTCTGTATACTGTAGTAGCTCCATTGGATCATTGTATTTTATAAGGCAGCCTCTGCAAAATCCTTCCATGGTTCCCAATTTCTTATTGTTTACCTTGTTGTTTATACTATTTGTTATCGTTCTCAAAATCTGCTCAAAATAATATTTTTTTACTTATTTGAATACAAGACGTTAATACTTAAAACTACATTTTGTACATGATTTTCGTTTCGGTTTTTGTGTAGGTATCCAATGATACACATAAAATACAAAATTTTGCATTTCAACAGTAAACAGTAGTGACAGTCCTATACTTATTATACTCTTTGGTGACAGTCTCACATCTCAGATGACATGACAGTGACAAATTGGTAAAGTTGACAAGCAAAGCGAAGCGAGCGGCGTGAAAAATCATCGAATGACTGCCTGGGACTGTCAGACTCTTACTGACTAAAAACCACCCCGTTCCTTCTCCTGCACGTCGGGCCGGAGCCCCGGTTACCCGTTAGGTTCTCCGCGACCGTGCTACGGCGTAAATAAAAATACAAATAATAACATAACATAACACCACACCTTTTTGTAGGCAGAGGTGTACATTACGGCACCTAATGCCACTGTGCAATGTAACACCCACTTTTCACTATTTATGTCATGAGTCCTATGTAATACGGGGTGAGGCTATTGCCCACTGATATGATTAGTATCACGATAAGTATCTATGCTATTGCCATATATGGGGCACATATCCAGGCTTCGTGCTACTACTGAGATTGTTTTTAAAACCCAGTAATACTTTGCCTGACCCGGGAATCGAACCCGAGACCCCTTGTCCGGCAGTCGCATTTGCGACCACTCGGCAAATGAGGCAGTCAGCAAATAAAATAACTTTATTAATAAAATCCTTTGCTTTGCCATACTGTGCACTGTACTGTACCGTACTAAACGAGACTGCATTCGGCGCTCTGATTTGTTTGTTCATTGTAGCCGGCCAATCAGAGCGCCGAACGCTTACTCGTTTTGATTACTTTTGGTTTTTTGGTTGCCTGTAAAGTCGGGCGAAAGTTAAAATAAAATAAAATAATTTATACAGTCAATCGGGGTAACTTTGACAGAAAAATACTGTATTTAGTCTAATATTGAAGGCATGTTGGTTGATAGACAATAATGGAAGTCATTTACGGTGTTCCGGAGCTGATCGCGTTTCTATTCATATAGTATTTTTTTTTTAAATATACTAGAAAGCAACAAAATCTGTACTTTTTGTGTGTGTCAAAGTTACCAGCCTTTAAAGGGTAACTTTGACACTGGTGGAGCCAGTCATAGAAAACCGATATAACTTAATTTTTAAAGCTTCGGGTTTACTTTGATATGTATTTTTAAGATAAAAGATCTATGGTCGAGTAAATAAAACCATAAAATGATATATGTGGGTACTATATTTATTGCAGAAATATTAAGTTAAGAAAGGGTGTGACACATTTCTTCAATTTTGACAATCAATCCAAAAAACATTAATCTTAATCATAAAATGAGTTTAACTAAAATGAAAATTACGATCAACAACGTCTTGCTAATTTTTATTCACCCCATTCCATGTAGAGTAAATCGTCATTGATGTGGTAAATACCACATGATTTCAGTCGAATTTTGCTCATATCGACTATTGAAATTATATTATCGCATCTTATTTTCACAGACTCCCTCTTATCTGGCCACTTCCAGCCACCATTCACATTCTTACACATACAAACGATGATATAAAATGGATAAACCATAGAAACAACTTTCCCAGTAAACAGAGACCCTTCATTTCTAAATATAACTTGAGTTCCTGGCAAGATATCAGAAAAAGATGTAGGGTGGCTTTTAGTGTTCTCTGCAATTTTTTCATTTTCTATTCCGGATTGCAAATTACCATCAAAACCAAACAAATCTTCTATGGCGACATCTCCCATTATATCATTAGTCACTTCAGGCGTCGCTTCTAATGGTTCGTCGGAAGCCGGCTGGACCTCTTCGTGCGCAGACATATCAATTTGTGTTAAAGAAATTTGGTTCGATGTTGATGGTGTAGGAATATTTTGGTCAGTATTTTCTTTATTCAGGGTTTTCATTTTTTTTTTATTTTTCGATCCTTGAGGACGACCTCTTTTTGTAGCTTTATTTGGTTCGGTGGAATCACTAGACTTTTTTACCTGAGCTTCAGCTTTTTTTTTATAATATAATTCAACCTCTTCTAATGAAACGCTTTTACCAACACTTATGGGCATTTGAAATTTCCTCTGATTTTTTATGCCTAGATCTGTGTTTCGTAATTCGGCTAAATAACTCCTGAAACTTTCACCTAAAGATTCTCTGGCACTCTCGGCGTTTATCGGAGTTTTGGCATATTCAGGAAGTCTGTTCAACACCTCTTGTCTGTCCAATGGGTATATTCCTGTGGCTTTGAAACCCGCCAAAACATTATTTGCTGACTGCTGGGCTCCCAATTCTAAAGCCCTTTTTACTAGAGCAGTAAAGCAGTTTTTGGGAAGTGAAATTGCTTTTTTTCCTCTTGCAGTCTGCCGCCAATCAAATAAAACAGTCCGCCAATTTGACTTTAAGGGACTAAAGTAGCCAACGTCGAGTGGCTGGAGAAGATGTGTGGAATTGGGTACTAGGCAAATAAATCCTATGTTATTATCTTTACACAACTTTAAAGTATTCACTGAGATGTGTGAACTTAAGTTGTCACAGATAAGTACTTTTTTCCCTTCTTTCTTTGAAACTATTGGCAAAAAGTGTGTGCTAAACCAATCATCAAAGCTCTCCAGATCAATCCAACCGCTTTTGGTTACAGTCATACGTGAACCAGGTGGTGCCCCAATAAGCCAATCTGACCACGTATTTTTGGCTTTAAATATAAAATATGGAGGTATTACTTCACCTGCAGCATTAGCACAGAACACAGATGTATAACACGATTTAGTAGAATTTCGTATTACTTCAGAGTTACGATTCTGACGCCTAAAAAGCAGTTTTTGCCTTTTCGGGTCATCGTGAAATCCTGTTTCGTCGAAATTGTATATGTTCTCTGGTGAAACATTTTCCACTTCAATTTGCAGATTATCGAAAAATTCATTAATTTTTTCTTCGTTAACTTGCGCTCGGCTTCTACTGATATTATGCCCAAATGTTGTTTTAAGGTCTGGGTGTCTTTTGAGGTACAGCTGACCCCATTCCCATCCAGGACGATTATTAGTAAAGGTCTTTACTTTCCTATTACTTGCATTTAAATATCGTTGTATTATAAGCGTAACATCATTAAGCCCTACAGTCAGCCCGTTATCGGACAAAGCCATAATATGATCTTTGATTATAATTTCTTCCTGCTTGGTTAAAGCAGTCGGCCTTCCAACTTCTTCTACATGTTTATTTCGGATTTTGTTCTTTATTGTATTAATTGGTATTTTGTAAGATTTGCTGGCCGAATACGCGCTTAATTCACCAGATTTCACCTTTTCTACACATTCTTCCAAAGTTGCTTGTGTGTAATTAGAATTGATTCCATACCTACGAGTGCCAGGTTCTGTGATTTTCCTCTTCCTAGGCATTGCGCAAAGTAAGTACCTTTAATCTGGAAATAAATGTAAAAGATGTAAGAACTCGTTCATATATATAACACATATGAACATAAAGTGTAAAAAGCACTTGATTATGTTCAAATACCGATAACATATACAAGAAAGAGGAAAAGATCATTACAAATACCTATGTCAAAGTTACCCACAATATTCATCATTCAATTTAAAAACAACAGGGCAACTTTGCTTGTGTCAAAGTTATCCGGATATTGGTCAAATTATGACCAGTAATAATTATATTCATGATTGTGAGAAATGGGACGTAAAAACGTTAAAATTATTTCTAAACACAAAACTACAAATTTCAATTGGTTTATAAAACATTTTACATACCTTGTGAACACAAAATTTCCCGAAAAACAGAAAAAGTTTACAACCAGTATCTGGAACTAAATTTTAGCGCTCAAAGTTTTGTCAAGTTTCTGACATTACCACAGACTGACAGCTACTTTTTTAAAGGTACATTTACGAAGCATGTTTCTGTAATTTATCTAAGAAAAAACACGAGAACTTAGCATAGATACTGCTGACGAAAAAAAATGTTTTATACATTGTAATCCGGCTGTCAAAGTTACCCAATCGAATCAAAGTTACCCCGATTAACTGTATAGTAGGAAGAAGGATGAAATAATAGTAACAATTTAAAACATTTATTTATACAAAGAATTATATTTAAAACATTAATTTATACAAAGAATCTCGCACTTCACTTTTTATGTCTGTCTCTCTCGCTCTTAGGCGGGCTAACCATGCCCGAGTGGAAGGGACGCGTGCCTCTCACTCGCTCTCATTGTGAGCTCATAACGTGAGCGGAGCGTAACGCAGTTTGTGTCACCCGGCAAACCAATTTATAAGACGTTGTCACGTCAAAAACTCGTACTAAGGCCTCTGGTAGGGAGCGCCGCTCTAAATAAGTTTTACTGAAACTATCTTCAATGATCGGACAAAACTGTGTAAAGAAACGTCCGAGCCACTCTCTGAGCGTCAAACTGACATCTCACGTCATTCGATTGAAATAAACAGTGACGACGACTTGACAACATTGCGTTTGTGAATATTTTAAAATGGAAAATAGTTCAGAAGTTCAAGTTACAATTAAGAAACCTGGAAGGGTTCTACATTTTAGCGATGGTGTTGAAGAAGAAATAGAAGAAGAGGAAGTAGCAGAGTTAGCGAGTGAACCACAAGAAACGAATGTTGATCCGGTGAGTAACCACAATGCATACATTGTTTGTTTTATTACCTCCAGCAAAGGTAAGGCCTTGATGTTATTCGTTTCTAATAATATCAATGACGGTAAAGTTCCGCTTAAGATATTTTACGCGTTTCATTATATTTTGATCTGCATACTAAGTTGTTAAAGTACCTAATTCACAAAGAGGATGTTTGTCGTTTGTTATGATTCATGACTTGTTTTTATTAAACTTTCTTTCGTTTATTTATTAATAATTAGCTAAATGAAAAATAAATTAAATTTGACATGCTGTACATTACAAAATGCATGCAGTATGACAAATGAAGTCCTTTGTTTCTAGTGTTTGTAATACAGTACAATATAATTAAATATTCTGCTTTTAAATTGTATGGTCATTACACTTTTTAAAATGATCTACAGCCCAAAATCTATGAAAACAATCAATGACTTATCAAAAGAACAAATATGTTTAAACTGTCAAACACCAAGCGGTCACCGGTGACCGCGACCTATTGTTCTTTAATTGTGTCTATAAAACCGGTACTCGACGAGTTACATAATAAATAATTAAACATACAAAACTATGACCATACTTCAAAGAATTCTGTATCGTTATGCCTGTATTTTAATTTTCAGAAATCTTTACAATGGGGTCCCTGGTTCTCCCATTATGCATGGAAGTCAGGTAACAAAGTTCTGAATGCAGTTGACTATGCTGGCGAGTCACTGGCTAGTTTCTTTGGCATTACCACACCAAAATACCAAATAGAAATTGATGAATATGAAAGAATAAAAGAAGAAAAAAGAAAAATGGATGAAGATTCTGCTGGTTGGGTACCCAAGAACGGCGGCGGAGACATACCTTTAGTTCTCAATGAACCCATCAAAGACAAAGCAGAGGTTTAGAAAAAAAATAGAACAGTCTACTTCTCTTTGGTTTATTCAGTATTGGTATTCGATTAGTGACATTATTGATATTACTTTAAGATTTATTTTTCAATATCCAATTATATGTATCTGTCAATATTTTATCTTGTTGTGTAAGTAATAATTTATTGTCTGTTATTGTTTTTTTTTTTTAAATGAAATGCAACTGGTAAAGTTCTGAGTACATTGTGTATAAGAAAGAATAATTTTAATATACCTATAGGATAATATTGATCAATTTGTTTCTGGAAATTAATAAGAAAGGAATTTGATTATGTCTCGATTTTATTTGTGTTATATTGTATAACGTTTTTTTAACTAAGATAGTATTAGATGTGACTAAATCTATGTGGTAATATAAATCGCATATTATGAGGGACTGAATGTATTAGAGCTTTATTTTGTTGTACATATTAATAATAAAATTAATATTTAACTCAATGAAGTTTCTTTAATTTCAAACAATAATATAATTATTATCTTAAAATAGTATGTTTTGTGTAACTACCAATTTTCAACTCACTAAACAACATTTGTCGTGTCGTGGTGGCCCGGAGGTTTAAGACGCCCACTTCTCATGCATGAGGGTGCGGGTTCGAAACCTACCAACGGCAAGTACCAATGTGACTTTTTCCGAGTTATATGTACTTTCTAAGATTATTTAGACACCACTGACAAACGGTGAAGGAAAAACATCGTGAGGAAACCTGGACTTATAATTTCTAATTATAGGTTTGAAATCGCCAACCCGCATTGAGCAAGCGTGGTGATTAATGCTCTAACCTTCTCCGTGTGAGAAGAGGCTTTGCTCAGCAGTGGGCATTTATAGGCTGTTGATGATGAAACAACATTTTTATAATTTGAGTTTACTACTTTTGTTAGGTCTTTTGTTTATAATATTAAAATAACCGCTTTTTACTACATGCATATGAATATACATACGATACAATACACACATTACAAAATAACAATTTTTACAATTTTTGCCTGTTTGTACTGACTAATCTCTGGAATGGCTAGACCGATTTTGCAAGACTTATTGGCAGGTAGCTAATGTACTAAGGAGAAACATAGGCTACGTTGTATTATTAAAAAACAAAGTACTAAGTACATATTTTACGCGGACAAAGTCGCCGAAAAAAGCTAGTTAACAATAAAACAAATTATAGCATTTTGAATATCATTGGTGCCAAAAATATGAATAGTCTCAGAACAAAACTGTTTTATGTTATTTGTGCATGTTCAAGATCTATTCAAAAATCTTATTTAATATACATGTATAAATATCCAACTAGAAAATATGTAATTTCCTAAAAGCAGCGATACTTTCAAATAAGAATTTCGAAATTGGAATTTGTGTATTTATTAGATTACAGCGACATCTATTTTTGGAATGAAAGTTCAACGTAAAGCGACATCTCGTAACTAGTAGCAAGCACTAATTGAACTTCCTTGTCACTTTTAGTTAATGTAAATATCGCTAGATGGCAATGTATTCACTATGATTAGTAAAATCGTTTGAAATACATTTTTAACGCTTAAAACTACAACTTCACAATAATTTTTGCTTTAAAATTAGTTTGCCTAAGACTGTTTCTATATTATTTTGTAAATTAGTATATATTTTTGGAACATTGTGATATATTTTGGATGTTAAATGGATGGATGATTTTTGGACTCAGGTAAATAGTTGATAGTTTTGAAACTTACCTACTTACAAGAAACGTTTTAGTAGAATTTTAAATAATTCGTGTTTAGTAAATTCAATTTCATGACCTTATGCGCTGAGTAACAAGGTCCACTATCGCGCATGGTCCACACACATTATAAATTACACCCATTCTAAATAGCTTAACGTAGTATGCGACATGAAATTCTTCTTTTAATTTTAGACCTTATTAGTTAGGAATAAGGTTGAAAGTCACATGGCAATTAACATATGTTATTGTTTGTCGGTGTTTAGCATGTGATATGTCGAAATGTAAACGGTTCGAGCGGTGTCCGCAGATCAATATGCGTGTTGCGCGGCCCGTGAGGGTGTTCGCCCCGTGCGATTGGCCGGCGTGTGGGGGGCGGGGCGAGCGTGTGTGAGGCGGCGCGCGTTCTCGCACGCGACGCGCCGTTTTGGCGCCAAATTGGGCAATAGGCATTCCATTTTCAAGTTTCACGAATAAGTATTAGGCCGTAAGCCACTAAGATAAGCTAAGGCCGTAGACTAGGGTAATATTTTTTGAATTTTATCGTCTATGGTACGAGCCGTACGGCTTAGAATTATAGGTTAGGGACCTATTAGAACTTTATAATATTTTGTCTAACTATACCTACGTCTATTTACTTAGGATCTTACTGAAGTAGTCGTTAAGTTTTTTTCGACCCCTGTATCTAAATCTATCTCTTACAAACAATAAGTAGGTACTTACCTATCTATTAGTTTTTCTCGATGCCTAATAACATATCTATCTAAGTATTTTTTTAATAGGTACTTACTACTTATTAGTAGTTGGTACGATTTGGTTATTGAAGGTTTTGAATAGGTTAGTACCTATAGGTACTTAAGTAATTTTGTAATTGCGACGAATTGTGTTCATTGTTTGATTCGGGCAAATCTTATATTTTCCAAAAATAATTTTATTCAGGCCTGATTGATAACGTAATTACCTCCACGATTGGCACAGTACGCTGGGTGACTCTGGCTGCCGTGGAATGTATGCCTATCGTAGGTAGATGAAATTCCTGGGTCGATTGGATCGACGTTGGATTGAGAAATCGATCGAAAGTCGATGCACACATCGGAGAACACCATTGACCTTACCCTTTCGATTATGGTTCCCATAGGAATATTCAGAGGTAAGACTATGTAGGCACTTAAGTATAGCTAGTCAGTGGCATAAAAAATCTGACAAACGGGTCTAACCAAGAATGTGGTGTAAAAATGTATGATCAAGAGCAACAAATAGCGCGTTTTGAAGGGCATAGACTGCAGTTGTCTCATTCAATCAGCTTAAACTGATTAAGAACTAGTCCTACCTCCTCTAAAAATGTCTTATTAGGTAGTACCTACTTAATTGTGATAAGCCAAGAAAATCTAATACCTACTTAATATTTTGCGTGTTAACTACTTGGTAACCCTTGGGCATTTAGAACGATCCTCCTGTTACCAAAAAAGGTAGGTACTTAATCATAACCGGAGTTGTCACCCAACAATACTACAACATGATTTACGTTTTCCATCCAATTGCAACAAAATTTACTACAAACGCGTATAATTATTATCTAATTCAATAATTCGTTAACACTACAGGTCATTCCAGACAATATGGCACGGGACAATAAACACGCACCAAGGTTGCCAGTTTAAAAAATATTGCGAATTAAAGGCGCGTGGTCCGTGGTCGAACGAGTTTTACTTTTTAAATTAAACGAACTTGAATTACTGGTTTTTGGCTCGCTTCTCCCATTGTGTCAGAATTTTGCGCGAATTTGCCAAACATAATGATTTTCTATAGATTTTGAACTAGTTATCTAGTACGATTGAAAAGGTGTTAGTTTTTTTGTAAAATATAGTTCTATGGTTGTTAGGGAATTATTGCGAAATCCTGTGGGTTGGTCAGCTGTTATTGTGCACGTGAATTTTATTAAAGAATTAGGAAAACTGGTTTTGTGCACGTGCTCGTTCAATGTATTTTTATACACGTTATATTTTTATATGAGTTCCTTCTACTCTCAATGTGACCAAAGAATGAAATTGATGTCTAACAAAGAGAAACAACTGGTGCATTCAAATACCTACTTTTGTTAACTCTACTCTTAATGAGTAGGGAGGTGATAGAAGAAGATTCATAGTTAATCCCTGCAACAACAAGACCCTGTAACTCTGCACTGCAGGACTTTGGGCCTCTTTTACATAGGAGGAGTTTGCTATTAGGATCTTCTTGCTTGACAGGAAGCTTCGAGATTGCAATTTAAAGAGGTTAGAGAATGCTATTGCTGCTCATCGAACCAACCTCCATTTAATGTGCATTCCCAAAGCCGGATCTTCGATATCCGTTGAATTAGCAGTGGTATAATTAATGTTGTCATTAATTATAGAGTACATTTGTGTGTATTTTACATTGTCGTCACCACGTGCCACATAGATCATTTTTCTACAAGATGAGATAAACTATTTCGCTATTAAGTGAAAGTGAAGTTGAACTCGCTACTTTCCTACTAGAATACAAGTTAATAATATCTTTTATCCTTTTCCAATCCACACAGGTAGAATGCAACGCTAATTCTATCGATATTCAAATTTTTGCGCAAGCGGTCTTTCGGACCCCCACAGCAGATGTTCTACTTTTAACTTTGCATGCATTCGCAATGTTGTTTATTAAAAAAATCTTTTGTGGCCATTTACAAAATAAAGCTTGCAATACAATACCTCATGCAAATTAGAACCGAACTTGATACGACAGGTCATAAATGCATTACGATCATTTTGCGAATTTCAACTGTATTAGCTTGCAAAAGCTTTCAAATTAAACTGCATAGCCATAATTTTTTTATTGCAATGTCAAAAATTGTAACAATGAACCTTGCTGTCTACGTGATAAGACTTAAAATTGTGCAGTGTATGCAGATTAAGAGAGAAATTTGCATAAACGACGCACACCTTTCGCGTTTGATCCTTTTTATGCAATTTGACTGACAGCTTTTATTGAATAGCCGATATTATTAGAATTTATATTTACTGCTATTGGTCCCTATGTATTTCCGATAATGCAGATTATAAACCATGTATTGTACAATTTAGAACTTAATAAACAATAATAATACTTTAGAATAAATAATGCAAGAATGAACAATTTTATTATTGGTAACACTGCTAAAAATTTGTCGGTTACAAAACGTATTCTAATTTCAAATAAAACAAAAAAAGAAATCTTTATAAACAGCCAGACTTTTGAAACAACCATTAAAAAGTTTGTATACTTACCATCCAAATTATGTCCGTAGAAACACCTTAAAATATTAGTGGTAGGTTTGCCTGAGTAAGTTCGTGGCTTTGGGCCCAGAGCTCATCTAAGATGCACATCTGTAGCACCGCTAGTTACACGCGAGGGTAACATTTCCGGTGCATAAATAATAACAATAAATTGTTAACTATTAGAAAGGGGTGTGCTCTGTATGCAAAATAGATGTAGGTTCGTTGCAAATGCAAACGTTGCTGATTTTTGCACCGTGTGTGCGTTTATTGTAAAATATGGCTGTTGTGTGATGATGTGTATCGGTTTTATAATTGAACTAGCTTTTACCCGCGGCTTCGCTCGCGTCAAAAAAGAATAAAAAGTAGCCTATGTGACATATACCAAT